GATGATTCATATTAGAAAATGATTATTGATTATAGATTAATTGTATCTAAATATTAATTCTTCATATATCAATTGATTAATTTAAGAAGATATATTTTAATTGTTTGAAGGGTCACTCAGCCAGGTCATTGAGTACATACCTTCCACTTTATATAATACACCAGTAGTTTTTTTGATATCTTTCATTGCCAACAGCAATATATACTTATCATTTCAAGTTATGAATATAAACATACTTTCTTGATGTATTGCAGAAGAATTTGTTTAAACTGATTCTATTACCAGGGGGCCTCATTCTCGAAAACTCAACTAAGATAAAATTCATATTTAAATAATAGACCTACACTTATCTGATTGGATAATAAAACAAATTATAAAACTAATAATATCGTGACCAATGATAGAAGGGATTTGTACCATTCTAATTTCCAGTCAGCCTTTGTTGATTATTAAGATTTAAGAAATACAGTAATCTGTTTGGATGATAATACGTAATATTAAAACTATTTTAGTTATTGACTTATTATATGAGGGACACTGATGGTTTAGATTTGCGCCATTTCCATTTTCAATTAGGCATCTCAAAAACCCTTAGATATTTTAAACAGCTTTGAGATAGATGTGCCATATATGATGAGACATTTTTATAATTACAGGAACCACAGACATCTAATGAAAATCAGAACGATGCAAATTGTAGTTCGAACATCTGCCTCTATTCCAGCCTTTGATAAGTGATGGTATATTTTTAACCTACTTATTTACCATGGTTTCACCAAACCCTATTCAAGCCAACAATTATTAAAATAGCTATCAGAGGCTGAACTAGAGACAGATGTTTCAGACTGCTAATGACAATATGAAAGGCTCTGATTCATGAAAATGCTAAGAATCCTCTTTGCAGCCACTTCATAATATGATGTTGGAATTTATGAGGCACTTAATGACATTTTAAAACTTTTTAAGAAAGAAAAGTAGACCAAATCATTGACATGATAAAAAATTATTTCTCCTGGTTATTTTATTTAGGTTATAATTATCCTTAGGTTCATTTATTATCTTAAAATATTTTTCAAAATTCAACAATAGGAAATTGTTTAAAGCTTAATAATTATTTTAACATTGATTTAATATAATATAATAGAATGAGAATACATTGTGAGGTTCTGATGTGGCTTTTGTTTCTCCTCAGAGCCAATGTAATTATAAGATCACTGAACCGAAGACATACTTAGTTACGTTTTATCCATCTTCAAAATGTCAAGGTATTACAAACTCTATCTAATACCTTGACATCATTAAGCACTTCCTTGTATTAAAGCTATATGACACTTGTTGCCAAGCTTCAAATGCCAACTCTGTCTAATACCTTGACATCATTAAGCAATTCCTTGATTTAAAGCCACCATTTGGCAAGGTTAAATATCAAGTTATCTCCCTTGTGAGATTTTAATACATATAGCCTATCAAATGCCTTCTTAGAAAGAACAATTAAGGATATGGCGTCCAAGTATGCAGACACAGGCAGCCATATTGTTAATAGTCTTTCTGTCGAGCCAAGGGCTCTGATAGACTTTCTTTGCTAGCATACAATCCAATCAAATTGTTGCATTTAGCAATTTCGGTGAAACAAGAAAAGATGAATAATCCTCCGTTAATGAATGAGTAATTACGTTATGCTCTTATCAAGGTTTATCATATATTTCTGAATATAGTGCACACCCCTTTCTTACCCCATCAAAATCTGGAAAAATCCATTTATCCGTATATAATGTGCATCCCTTGTTGACGAAAAATTTGAGGTTGCATAACGCAGATATTTAAAAGAAATATTTTCTATAATGAAACAACTTGAGTTTTATAGTCTATTTGAAGAAATTTATTGGCATATTTGCAAATTAAAGGTCAAATTTGACAGAATAAGGCTGAAACTTTTTTGAAAATTTAGCCAAGCATGACTTCAATTCACAAAGCAACATTATGTTTGTGATTTATTGAATAACGTGTTGACATAGAGAATATCTAATTGTGATTTTCAATCAAAAACAAAAACAATATGGTGTCAATCTATTAGTATACTGATTCCAATGTTATAGCCATACCACAGGTAGAGAGCACAGGCTGTTAGAGCATTGGTTCGTTACATGACATTACTTGTTTGATTACTTCAAACAATGAGTGGTCGTGGGTCCTAATCTCAATCAGCATCTCAAAATCTGTTTGCATTTGCTCATTATACCAGTCGGCACAGATGTAAACTGTTACTGATAATGGTGGATAGATCAGTACTAAATACTACATGACTAAGAACCAGCTGGTAAAAAAGATCCTCATAAGGACAATAAACTGAGGCCCTGTTTGCTACAGACTGTGCATATAAAAGATACCTCGACAGCTGGAAATCGCAAAAGGAGCAGGCTTATGCTGCTTTCCTGGCAAAACTTCCCTCATTGCACCTTGAATGGCGTTGCCTGTAATCATTACCTGATGAAAATTATATATCAACAACTGGGTATAGTACTAATCCTTTCATTCGTATATCAATTGCGTGTATACTATATAATAGCTTGAATTTTTAAGCTACTCATTATGTAAAATAATGATTTATTAATTTGATCTGTCCCTATTAAATTATCAAGTGATTTCAATACCGGTAACAGATGTATATTTCATAGTATTTATATTTATCACGATTATTTTAATTTCCATAATCTAGGTCAGAGAGTTCACAGGGTTAAATATCAATTAATGACATTGGACAATGTCTCGAGCAATATATTCTTGAGAAAGTAATGATTTGTGATATCCAGAACGTAGAAATACTTTTCTTATGAATGTGTAGTTAATGTACCTTAATGTGTTTATTACATGATATGGTTTAAGTACTGACTGTATCACCTATATGTACTGCTGAAATTCTCTTTAAACTCTTCTCTTTGCATTGTATTTTTTTGTAATTTTGACTCTGTTTTTGTGACTGTATTATTAATATGATATGATTTTAAGCAGTTTTTAAACCACCTATGTGTCCCGCGGAATTTTACTTTTAACTGGTGTCTGTATTATTTTTTGTGACTGATATGATGTAATAAAATGATGCCCTCTAAAGATTGTAAAAAGGTAATCATTGTTTAAAGAAAATATATAGAGTCTTTAGTGTGCATCTTCTTTGTTGAATTTTGTCATTCTGTATCTTTGATTTTAGATTTTATTTCCCAAAAAATCTTCACTATGTCAAGCTCTTAGGAACTGCATCTTATACCTTGACTGCAATAGCCACCTTTCTTGTATCACAGAAGTAAATGTAAATGTGCGATTTGATTCGATTGTATGCTAGCAGAAACAGCCAATCAAAGACTTTGATCTTGGCTGTGCATATATTCGAAGGCTCTGATAGGCTGGATTTGCATTTACAAACCACCATGATACAAGGAAGATGGCTATTGCAGTGATGGTACAAGATGAAGTTCGTTATAGCTTGACATTGTGATGATGCAAACTGAAAGTGAAACAAGAAAAGTGGTTATTGCTGTCAAGGTATAAGACAAAGTTTGTAATAGAGTGACATTGTGAAGATGAAGTTTGTAATAGTTTGACATTGTGAAGATGAAGTTTGTAATAGCTGGACATTGTGAAGATGAAGTTTGTAATAACTTGACATTGTGGAGATGAAGTTGTAATAGCTTGATATTGTGGAGATGAAGTTTGTAATAACTTGACATTGTGAAGATGAAGTTTGTAATAGCTTGACATTGTGGAGATGAAGTTGTAATAGCTTGATATTGTGAAGATGTAGTTTGTAATAGCTTGACATTGTGAAGATGTAGTTTGTTATAGCTTGACATTGTAAAGATGAAGTTTGTAATAGCTTGACATTGTGAAGATGAAGTTTGAAATAGCTTGACATTGTGGAGATGAAGTTTGTAATAGCTTGACATTGTGAAGATTAAGTTTGTAATAGCTTGACATTGTGAAGATGAAGTAATCTGTGTATAAGAAATGATAACGGATATTCTTCTCTTTATATTGTTAAATAATCTCAGAAATTTTTCTTCTGGTCTTATGAATTTTTCATTTTCATTCATTGGACATTTTTTTCTTAATCTTGTGTTGTGATTTTATCTTGGAAATTGTCAAACTGACCTCAATTCAAGACATTCTTTATTTGAATAATAACAGTGTTTTGATAAATTCAACCTTCAACAAATTTTTTAGTGTTTTCAATTTTAAAGAGACAGTTGCGCCATTTATTAGACCAATTTTACTTTAGTCTCAGAATTGGAATTTTTTAGTTAAACCAATCAGGTTCACACACAGCTCACAAAATTTGACACGCTTTAAATCCATGAGTGTCCAGAATTATCCACGTTTTAAAGTTAAAAATACTAGTCGTCTTTTCTTGAGATCCAAATCAACTCCCGAAAATGGCCAATCTGCCCCTTTAATGTTATCCAAATGATCAGTCTATATATGAGAGTTTAAAACAGTTTTAAACAAACCACTGTTCCAGAAACATGACCATGAATTGCTGTGAAAGGTACATCACTACTCCAATTATTACCATCAAGATTCCTTTCAAAACTTCATTGATAAAAGCAGCTATTTAAATTCATCTTTGTTATTTTCAACAAACACAAGTTTATATTATTGTAGCACATTATTCTTGACTTCATTAAACCAAACAGGATGTAAAACTCCATTCAACAGTTAGATTATTAAAAGATATAAAAAGGAAAATAAAATGTTAATTGGTATGACAGATGGGGAAGTAATTAAACAATGTTGAGGTAATAATAGGAGATGGTGAAGTCTAAGCGTTATACAAGCATCGACACGTGTTCTTGTAGCCAGGCTGTTTTTAACACATGTTCTTGTAGCCATGCTGTTTTTAACGCATGTTCTTGTAGTCATGCTGTTTTTAACACATGTTCTTGTAGCCATGCTGTTTTTAACACATGTTCTTGTAGCCATGCTGTTTTTAACACATGTTCTTGTAGCATGCTGTTTTTAACACATGTTCTTGTAGCCATGCTGTTTTTAACACATGTTCTTGTAGCCATGCTGTTTTTAACACATGTTCTTGTAGCCATGCTGTTTTTAACACATGTTCTTGTAGCCATGCTGTTTTTAACACATGTTCTTGTAGCCATGCTGTTTTTGACTCATGTTCTTGTAGCCATGCTGTTTTTGACTCATGTTCTTGTAGCCAGGCTGTTTTTGACTCATGTTCTTGTAGCCATGCTGTTTTTAACACATGTTCTTGTAGCCAGGCTGTTTTTGACTCATGTTCTTGTAGCCAGACTGTTTTTAACACTTGTTCTTGTAGCCATGCTGTTTTTAACACGTGTTCTTGTAGCCAGGCTGTTTTTAACACATGTTCTTGTAGTCATGCTGTTTTTAACACATGTTCTTGTAGCCATGCTGTTTTTAACACGTGTTCTTGTAGCCAGGCTGTTTTTAACACGTGTTCTTGTAGCCAGGCTGGTTTTAACACATGTTCTTGTAGCCATGCTGTTTTTAACACGTGTTCTTGTAGCCAGGCTGTTTTTAACACATGTTCTTGTAGCCATGCTGTTTTTAACACATGTTCTTGTAGCCAGGCTGTTTTTGACACATGTTCTTGTAGTCATGCTGTTTTTGACACATGTTCTTGTAGCCAGGCTGTTTTGGACACATGTTCTTGTAGCCAGGCTGTTTTGAACACGTGTTGTAGGCTGCAGTGATTCTGTGTGTTGTTCCAGCTTGATAAACTGAAGATCAAAGGTTTAATCCCAACATTGGTTCCTATTTTTATGTTGAGCAGCTATGGTGGGTGTGGTGCCAGGCAGGGTATGCTTACTCTTCTAGACACCTGATACCACATTCCCTTAATAAAAGTTTGGATCGTTTGGTTTATTGATCCGGCCATTACTTTAGCATTTCTCAACCCAGTTACTCCTTGTAAGTGATGCAGAGGCTACAGACTGTGTCCGTGGACAATTTCTTGACAGATGGAAAAAAGGCCACTGCAATATTTCCCTCATTGCACACTGCATGGTGTTGCTTTCTTCATAAGGTGAAGAGAAGTAAGATGTAAAACTCCAGTCATTGAACTAAGGATTTCAAATCTTACAGAAAGTATTTTTATGTCTGAAAGCCATTGCTTAAGAATAATTCAAGATGGAATTAAAAGTTTCTAGTCGAAAGATATTTAAAAGTTGAGAGCACAAGGGAATATATTATGGTATAACACTTTTCTTATATAACAAAGTAAAAAACATTTCAACACAATTTACACTTGTCATTTCTTCTGATGAAAAACAACATGTAAATTGTGTACGTTATGTAAATGTTTTGTACGGTACTTTATTAAAGAAGTGTGTTATACCATAATATATTCCCTTGTGTTTTATTACAGCAACTTAGGTTCATAAGGATCTTTTATACTAGCTGGTACTTGACCAAACCTATCAGTGTTGATCTTGCCCAGATTATCCATACCTATTTACAGCTGTACATTAAGATGAACAATCATACACAAGGATAACAAAGTCTTAGGTTTCACGTGGATCCTTTCTACCAGCTTGTTCAGGACCAAACGTCTGGGAAATTGATCTTTCAGGATTATCTAACTGAAATGATGAAGAAATATGACTTTTTGAAGGTCACCAGACTTTCACACAATGACCGAGATTAGAACTTCCCCATTGATTTGACATTTCAAAGAAAAAGAGACCTATTTTGTTTTATTTTGCTAATAAATCTTGTCGTGTTTCTAATAGTTAACCAGAGGTGTAATTGGCATATAAATGTATAGATGGTTTTTATGTGATTAGAAAGAAGTTATAAATCACCAGTTAGAATTCTGTGTCTGTAATAAACTTACTTTATATTCTTTCCTTCTTCTTCTTCTTTATGTATCCACACGAAAAAATTTATTGCATAATGGTATTGCAGAGATGTAAGACTTGCTAAAATTTCCGGAAATGGAAATGGGTTGAAGATTCATTTCTTTTCCGAATAAGAAACGTTTGGCTGCCTACGTTTCCCAAAGTTCCGTACATGAATGTAATGATCATTTACACCTGAGATATTGTCATGTGTGAAAAAGTAGCAATGGCAGGTGTGGTTCCAGGCAGGGTATGTTTACTCTTCTGATTGATGCCATGGACAACAAATTTTCTTCCTAATTTATTTTATTTGTTTAATGCCCAAGAGGCCGGGCGGTTATGAATAATATTTTTTATAGATATTTTAATTCTTATATCACATGTCACTATAATAAACACAATTTCTACCATTTCTTCTGCTCTTAAAAATAATAAGAAAGCTGATATACTTTTGGTAGAAGAGAATAAACCACACGTTTTCTCCCAGAAGGATGAATAGAGTGATTTACTGTTAACTCATTCTGTAGGCGGTTTTTTCAGTCATAAAATGATGATATTTAATCAGTAGTTTCTATTTATTGTTGGATGTTTTGGTTGTAAATTGTTTTGTTAAGTAATGTTTATAGAAATAGGTTAATACCTCTATATTACTAAATGACACCAAGACGACTTTCTTGACTTTCGTCTCTAAAGTGATCAAAATATTATTATACTTGTCATCTCAGCTTACAGAATTACCAGTATGGTTAATTAACATTTCTCAGAAACAGTCTGAAACAGGTGAATTTACTTGTAAAAATAGCGTTCTACTAGATGTAAAAAGGATTGTAAAGAGATTTTCTAAACTTTGTATAAATAAACCAAGTACTAACGATCTGAACCCCAAATTGAAACCCAAAATCCAAACAACGTACTGGCGAAACATTGGTAGCAGCTAATGAACTTTTCAAATTTTCAGTCAGATGTCTATAGTTCCTGTAATTCAACTAAAACTAAGTGTTTTGTTTTGTATAAGGTCCTTTACAATAGTGATTTCATAAAACATATAGTTTAAGTTGATGTGATTACTAAGAATTGGAATGGTTGAAATTGATGCAATCAGTGTCCCTGATTCATATTAATTTTTAAAATCTCTTTACAATCTCTTTAATAATTCACTGATATATCTTGCCACCAACTAACATTCCTAGTAAAACTCTTAGAAAATTATTAGTGTCATAGCAACCAATTTTAAATAAATTTCTCTGATTTCTTCTAATTTGACACAACTGGTGATTCCAACGTTAATCAGGCCTTCTTCTTTATTTTTAAAGAGACTGGTTCCAAACTTTTGTCATAGAAACTGGAATTTTTTAGCTGAGCCAATCAGTAAATGTGTTCATAGTTCTTGAAATTTGAGTCTTCAAATCCCTGTGTCCAGAATTATTTGCATTTGAAAGTTGAAATGAGGACTTGTCTTTTCTTAAGATGCTTTAGACATATATAGAAATAGGAAAAATTCCTATTTTGAGGTATATTTAAGGGAATTATGCTATTTTCTCACATTTCTAGTACTTCTGAACACTAATTACATATATTCAAGACTCAAATCAAACCCTCGAAAATTGACGCATGTCTCTTTAAATCTTGGAAGCAACCTAGATTTCTCTGATTTCTTCTAATTTGTCACATTTATTGATTTAAATCAGATCTTTTTTCTTTATTCTTAAACTCCCCCTGGCTTATTTTAATGTCAGATATTAGATTTATATCAAATTTAACGGACATTTTAAGCTGAAATATTAACGCTATTATGAACGACTGTCTGTAGGGCTTTGAAGTGTGAATAACCTAATTTCTTGATGAACTGGGTCAATGGCTCCATAACTGGACAATAATGAGAAAGTTGACCTGGAATATACGTCTAGTCTCTTGGATAATAAGAATAAGGTAAATGGTAATCACATATCAAATTCTTGACTGAAGAATTTAAGACCAACTGGCATATTTTCTTATGGACAGCGCCCGAAAAAACTTGTGCCTTTGCTGCTCAGAGTCGTGCTTTGTCTGACATCTCAACCCTTCAAACCAACCCGCCCCCTTGCCCGTGACAACAAGCCTATAGCCTGTATGCCCATGCCAACTAGGTTTGATAACTGCTCACAACTGGCTATGTTTTGGAGAATCTAGGTATAACTGAAAGAGCTTAACTTTGGTTAACTGTACCACTTTTCAATTAAAAACCCTGAGTTCAGTTTGTCTCCGATTAAAAAAATTAATGTCAATGACTTAAAGACTGAAATACATTATATTGTTATTACATCGAAGACAAACTGCATGTTCTATAATATTTCTGAGAATTGATACAGATCAGAATCTAAATAGTTCTTAATCCAACTCAAAAGTTCACAATTTTTCAGTATCTCTACTTTCACTTTATTTTGTAAACTGAGTAAGATTAAAGGAAGCTTTATAACCTATAAATTTTTTTATAACAATTAGTTTAGCTATTTCTAGTCTACATGATAATAGTTATTTTAAATTTCTTCAAGTCTGCAGCCTTCAGACATTGGTTCATGACAGATATTTCAGAATTAAAATGAAAATTAAAATTGTCGGTCACTATTTGGCCAGAGGACTGGCAATGCCATACAGTGTTCAATGAGGGAATTAGCCTACTATTTTGGATTTGCTACTAGGTATATTTTCCAATCTGAACAACATAACATATTTTCCAGCCATACGAGCTGCATTGATAAGGTTGAAAAATCCGAAGGTATTATCTCGACCTATGCTAGGATTTACCCCTGGACCTTCTATATTGATGTATAGAGTGCTATTTGAACAGTGAAATTATTTCATTATTGTAAAAATATCTATCTAATTGCTCTGTTTCATTAAACTTTGTTCTCTTTTATAGCACAATCAACAAACAAGTTTAGTCATTTATGAGATGATGTTTACAAATTACTAAATAATAATTACATTGTCACGACGATTCTAAAATCTAAAATACTCAAACATAGAAATTAATGTGATCAAATTTGTTATTCATTAAATACTGTTAACAATCATCATGTTTCATAAATAAAATGAGAGAGTAAATGATATATAACTAAAATATAATATCCCAATTACCATAGAGCTTAATTTAAGCTCCCTTCAATTTCAGCTCCCCTTTGCATTACCCCCCACCCCTTCATTTAACCTAACCCTTCACACAACCATACCCCTTGAGCTTAATTTGAGCTATCTGTTGTTTCTTAAATAAAATGAGTTAAGCTAGTTAGGTATGTAGTGATCTAAATATCTGATTTACCACTTGAAAGAGCTTTATTTAAGCTACCCTCAATTTCAGCTCCCCTTCTCATTGTCCTTAGAGCTGAAATTGAGCTCTCTATTGTAAAGTGTTGAAACGTAATATTTTTTTTGTGTCTAAAATTGATTGGAATCAGTGAAATATAGATACAAGTGTATCTTAACAATACAATAGTGTTCCTATAGAATCAGTAAACTTACATCATTATTGATTTGTCATCTGTGAAGCATTTAATGGAAAAAAATTTGAAAAAACCTGTTACTTTGCTAATAGACAATAAATGATATTATAAATCTATGCTCTGTGGAGAATAATTGTATAAGTTGTTATCAATGTAATGTATGAATATTTAATGATAAATATAATCATATATAGACAATATTTACAATGTTTTTGTTCAATTGGTAATATCATCGATTTATTTTTTTACTCTAGATAATTTGTCACCATTTTTATATTGCATTGTCATGATTAAAATAATTACACTTAAGATAATGATTTGATAAGCTTGCCTTACTTACAGAATAATGATTTGATGAGCTTGCCTTACTTACAGAATAATGATTTGATGAGCTTGCCTTACTTACAGAATAATGATTTGATAAGCTTGCCTTACTTACTGAATAATGATTTGATGAGCTTGCCTTACTTACAGAATAATGATTTGATGAGCTTGCCTTACTTACTGAATAATGATTTGATAAGCTTGCCTTACTTACTGAATAATGATTTGATAAGCTTGCCTTACTTACAGAATAATGATTTGATAAGCTTGCCTTACTTACTGAATAATGATTTGATGAGCTTGCCTTACTTACAGAATAATGATTTGATGAGCTTGCCTTACTTACAGAATAATGATTTGATGAGCTGCCTTACTAACAGAATAATGATTTGATAAGCTTGCCTTACTTACAGAATAATGATTTGATGAGCTTGCCTTACTTACAGAATAATGATTTGATGAGCTTGCCTTACTTATAGAATAATGATTTGATAAGCTTGCCTTACTTACAGAATAATGATTTGATAAGCTTGCCTTACTTACAGAATAATGATTTGATGAGCTTGCCTTACTTACAGAATAATGATTTGATGAGCTTGCCTTACTTACAGAATAATGATTTGATAAGCTTGCCTTACTTACAGAATAATGATTTGATGAGCTTGCCTTACTTACAGAATAATGATTTGATGAGCTTGCCTTACTTACAGAATAATGATTTGATGAGCTTGCCTTACTTACAGAATAATGATTTGATAAGCTTGCCTTACTTACAGAATAATGATTTGATGAGCTTGCCTTACTTACAGAATAATGATTTGATGAGCTTGCCTTACTTACAGAATAATGATTTGATGAGCTTGCCTTACTTACAGAATAATGATTTGATAAGCTTGCCTTACTTACAGAAGAATGATTTGATAAGCTTGCCTTACTTACAGAATAATGCAATGACCTGTTTTGGTGCTGGTGAACCTTAATGCATTATTAATTTATAAGCCTTCTTGCCTTAATAACAGGGAAATTATAGTTCAGTAATGAGTCTTGTTCACGTCTAGATAGGAATTGAAAATCGAAAGGGAGCGAAAAAAGAAAGTGTGAACTAGGGATTACACAAGACTTCATGTTGCGTATTTCAAATAACAGTCAACGGTGTATTTAGGCAGTAATATTTGGGCCATTCCCCCTCCCCCTGCCCCCTTGGGCCATAAAGAATGAAAATTCTTCTTCCACTACCAAAATCGTGTTAGATGTATTCTCGGGCTTCCAACAATTTTCCATTGGGAGACTCTGACCTTCCCTCCATAACTAGTGCCCTCTAAAATCTAAAAGGTATGTAATTCCTTCAAAAATACTTCAAACTAGAAATTTCTCTTTCTATTTCAAGGTATGTTTTACCTTTATATCACAGATTTTCAAGAAAAAACGACTTGTCATTTAAACTTTCATCATTCTGAACACACGGAGATTTGAAGGCTAAAATTTCGACAGTGAGCTTTGAACACTATTACTGATTAGCTTAGCTAAAACATTCCTGTTTCTAAGACTAAGGTATGATTGATCGAACGGTTGGTGGATCTGTCTCTTTAAACTGTGTGATGAGAAGCAGCAAATCTTTATTTTACTGAATGACTCCATTTCACTTTTCAATTATAATCGAATGTGACCTTTCACTGAACAACTTCTGAATTTAAGCAGAACTATAAATGTCAGGAGATGGAACAGATAATACTCATGATGGTATATTATTACTAGTCATTATATTATTAGTTCCAATCATTCCTTGTATTTCCATTGACACGGAGACCATAATATAGGTATTAAGCCGCCAACACAAATCTTTTCATTCCAGCTTACAAGAGATATTAAAGAGTTTTTGTTAATTTCAAACAAAATTCATCAACTTTTTTTCTCATGACATATTTTTTTAAATATTAAACTGTTGGTAGAAGTGTGTCATTAAGTAAAAGCTTGTCACAGTAGTTACACTAAAACGTGTGATAGACTTACATCAGAGGAAATCTATTGTTATTCTTATTAAAAGGAATGTTTTTTCTGATGTGGGAATTTAAAGAGACAAGTTGATCATCTATTTCAACCCCCACAAATGGTGAACCTTACGTTTAAAGATAGGCCGTGAAATTGCTAAGCATCGAATCCAGATTTTTATTGAGGTAATTGGTGCTTCTTCTATATAATCATAATTATAAGTAGGGACTTACTGGTATATCTCCCCATCATTAAAAAATCTCTACTTTCGATTGGTTTCAGTATTAGCTATCTTATATCTTTATAAGCCCTGTTTTAAATTTTGCTGGAACTAGGGCAGGAATGTAGGTCATGATATATCTCGATTTGTTTCAGAATATTGGAAAATATAAAACAGTTATATAGCTATCTAAATTTTAAAAAATGGGAAATATTTAAATTCGTTTCCTGTTTTTAGAAAAAATATTAATGACATTAACGACTAAGAATAAAGATATAGATGTTTTGAATAATATTATAACTTATTTCCATTCTTATAATCAAAAATAACTTTAAATATGTGATGTTTTTCTTTTTTTGAAGTATATGTCTATATTTGGTGTTCAGATGTCTGATATATTTTCCTAAAAATAGAAATATTAGACAAACACCAAATATAGACATATTTCAAAAAAAGAAAAATTTGTTTTCTGATTATAAGAACAAATATAACATTGTTAGCTGTCTAAACACCAATTGATATATATTTTGTAAAAAGAAATAAATGTATAGAGTTTTTCTAATTTTTTCTGGATATGAATGAATTAAAAGGTTTTAGCTGTCTGTAAACCAAATATAAAAATCATATGTAAAAATATATATGTAGAAAATATTTTAATTCCATTTGTGAAATATTGAAACAAGTGAATGGAAAAGTTTAACCATCTAAAAACCAAATATAGACATTTAACAAAAAAAATGTTGTCATTCATTTCCATAGTAAAGGAATAAATGAAAATGTATTAGTCTGTTGAAGACCAATATAAGTATAGATATATACATACATGAAAAAATAGGAACCTATCTTGAAAGCTGTAAAAGAAAATTCAATTTGACCCTTTCATTGGCAATAGCTAGCCAATGACCAAATATAGATATATATGAAGAAACAGGAACCAATAGTAAAAGCTTTTACTTAACTCTCATCTTCAGAATGTCAACCTTGTGTGACGTAAGTAAGGTGGCTATTGTAGTCAAGGTATTAGACACAGTTCATGATAGCTTGACATTGTGAAGATATACAGCCTACAGAGACTGGCTAGCCAGTGACCAAATAGATATGAAAAACAAGGAATCAATAGTAAAAAGTTTTAAAGAAAGAGAAGAGTTGGTTTTGAATTGACTCTTTCTATAGATATTGATTACTACCAGCCAGTGACCTGTTCAAGTCGGTCAAACTACTGGTCATTAATTATTGATCAACGACCTAGATCTATCAGGTCAAAAGCTGTTGTATTTTTTACCATATAGCTTCTTGTTAATGACCTCACAGGTTTGTTAAAGAGAGAATTTATTGTACAAACAGGTATCATAACTTTGTTCTGTCTCTCAATTATAACAACCGAGTTGGATTGTCGCCTGCTAGGCAGTGGCAGAGCCAAAGGGGGCAGCCGCGCCCTCGCAGCCACGAAAGTAAGTTTTTCTTGTTTTTCGGGCAAAAATCTCATAACTAGGTTAGAAATAGGGGCAATCTCAGATATTCCACCCCACCTCGGACGTCACTGTCACTACTGCGAGGCAATTAGGTTCAAATCCTCCTCCAGGTAAGAAAGATTCTGATGCCTGTGCCAGTGCTTCCGAGAGTCAACGCAGCGTCGGCTCTCACTCTCTAATACCTGATAGTACTTCTCTATCCACTACTAACTATACAACTTTTACTCTAGATTTTTCCATACTTTAGACGAGATTTTGATGAACATAATTGTCTTGCTTGTACATATTTTATATTATCAATTACATTGTTTTGTTATGAATTTTTTTAATATTGTGTAGTGAGTTTCAGTATATATATTACAGTCTATAGATACATAAGCCCCATCTTGACTAGGGCTCTATCAACCATAACATGCTTGTATCATAGCCGAAACTGTTATCAGAACGTATGCCTGTTTACATTACACAAAAATCTCCAGTTCCAATCAGATTACAATCAGATTACATACAATTTTTGAAAAGAAAAAGTAATTATTATTGGTCAGATTTGACTTGCTACTTTATAGAAATCAACAGGGTAGAGCTCTAATCAGACATGCATGGCAAATCATGACTGGCATAAGGAGCTTTAAGCAGAGTTGACTGGCTAATACACAGAATCAACACCTTAGAGCTCTATTCAGACATGATTGGCAAATAGAGCATTAATCAGAGTTGACTGGCTAATACATGGAAATCAACACCTTAGAGCTCTATTCATACATGATTGGCATAAGTAGCTTTAAGCAGAGCTGACTGGCTAATACATGAAAATCAACAACCAGTATTTTTTACTTATAAAAAATAAGTTGTGAAATAAATGAAGGAGATGTGAAGTTTATTATATTATATGGTTCTCCTGAGAGTTGAGTTAACTAGAGCATAACTTGTTATTGACTGATATATTTTAACTGTTTTATCACAATATGTTACCATGACCTACAATTCCTACTTCCCGTGTATAGGCTGTAAAATTATCAATTTTTAATGAATCCTTCATTACTAGTATATAAATGTGTTAGACACAATGTAAAGATAACTGGAATAATTATTATTGTTGGTAACTGTTAGATATGAAAGCATTATTATAGGAAGCGTGGATTGATGCAAAAAGATAAATTGAATGAAAACATTTCGTTAAGCGTTGATAGATATTGTGGCTAAGTGGAACTAAAATTAGTGTCGGAAAAGTTGTTTGAAAATGTTAAATAAGCAGGAATAATTTAAAAAGATAGATTAAATTTTTGTTGAAAATGTAATATTTTAGTATGGGCAATTCTAAAAGATGTCTTGAACTATCATTTGTGATGGAAGTGTGATATGAAAATATTAAAATAAGACTAGATAGATATTTGGCTTAACATATTACACAGAGAATATAATCCAGCATTTATCAGTATTTTTTACGTGTCTGTGGAAACCTATTATTAGGTAATGTTTTACTGTTTTCTGGGTGAACTTCAACCTAAAGAGGTTCAATATTGTTAATTTGCACCATACAAATTATCAGTCAGGCCTCTGCGGTTCTTGCAATTTCTCTCAAATTTAGCATTTTGTTAAAAAGATGTTTCCATGGATCTATGAGATAGTGACATCATAGAATACTTGAGTCTAAGGCCCAAAGCTTTCTTGAGTATCAGCAAACAGGACATTTAAAAACACCTAATGCCACTTGAGGTTTAGGTTTGTCAACTCATTATCACTTTCAGAGAGTTCACAAAGCTAAAAATGTATATTTGGTATTTTGGTTTGTCAACTATGCATCCCTTTCAGAGAGTTCACATAGCTAATAATGATTATTTGGTATTTAGGTTTGTCAACTCAGCATCCTTTTCAGAGAGTTCACATAGCTAATAATGATTATTTGGTATTTAGGTTTGTCAACTCAGCATCCTTTTCAGAGAGTTCACATAGCTAATGTTTATAAATGCAGAATTTCTTTAAGAGAGATCACATAGCTAATAATATTCATTTGAATATAGGTTTTGACATCCCTTTCAGAGAGTCCACATAGGTAATATTATTTATGAAGTTATGTATAGGAATATACATCAGAGCTAATGGAAAGTGACATTCAGCTTCATAATTAAGCATTATCATACAATTGACTATCACCTGACTAATTAGAAATATTTCATTAT